AGTATATATATATATATATATATATATATATATATACACACATGATGCTGATAACATGGTTTCATGATAAACCATTTTTTAGTTTTCAGAGGGTTGTTTGGTTAGTAACATAGTTGACAGAATTTTTTGGACATAAGTAAAATATTTTCTTATTTGAAAGAAAATTAAATGTAAACTCAATCTGTTTTCTAAGGTATTTAGTTTAGAAATAAATTTAATATCGAACATTTTTGTTCATTATTTTGAACTCAAGATTCAATTCAAAAAGCAGACATTGTAAAAACTGTAATTTAAGGAACTTTTCAGCAATTTCACGAAAAATTAAAGGGTGGCACATAGTATTAAATGTTAAATTATAGTATGTATTCTCTTAATGGATAAAATATTGTATTTCTGGAGAAATTTATCATCAATGGATAATGAAACGTACCCTAAATTATAGAATGACCCATATACTGTATACTTCATAACTGATATATTAATTTAACACCATACCTGATCTACTAAAATCGGCTTTGCACCAGAAAATGTACTAATAACCACCATAATAAAAGCACGTGCAGCCTTTTGTTGCATTTTTATGTAAACCAAAAGTATATGAATTTCTTTACAGACAATTCGATGCAACAGTTTACTTATTGGATTTGCAAATAATACATTAAGATTAATCAACTCAAATAATTCATGTAAGAATGTTTTTTACACAAAATCTATCATCCACAAAAAAATGCAATAAGATTTAATTAAGATTTTACAAAGATTTTACATAAAATCTAATGCAGTTATTTACACACACAAACAAAAATGTTTACTGTAAAAACCTGTGTTGTCCTGTTAAACAGAATATAGGTTTGAATCTAGCAAATCATTATTTTTACATGCAAAATAAAGAAATAAATATACATGTGTTGTCCCATTAAATTAAATTTATCACAATATATGTCAAAAAGTCACTTGCAGTTTGCTAATTAGCATACTTAGCAACCTGTAGCATTTTTACATTCTTTGCTTAAACTTCTACAGTGAAAATCTAAAAGACTTCTTGTGCCTAAAGACTTGACTGAAGTGAAAAGTCCTGCAGCAGTCTTGTATTGTGTGGAAAGAGGATCTCCACAGAGCGACTGTGTCTGAAACATGTGAACACTTGTCTGTTTGGCTAAACTGCTCAGTAGTTTTCCACTCTCTGCAGAGGAAGTTGAAAAGAGGAAGTCAAACGCTTGTCATCAAACATGTTTACATGATAGTCCTTTAGCAGTTTCGCAAATTTTTTTATCAACGTGGGCTTTCACACGTTCATTCTCCGAAGAACCTCTTAACGTTTCGACGGCTTTTCAGCAGAACGCAGAACAATTCCTCACGTTTGCAGCCAAAGAAAAGACAAGGAAAGAAAAACAATGACAACAAAGAAAACATTTCCTCTCCGACTGCTTTGTACAAAGATGAAAGTGTTATGTGAAAGCAGTATGTAAAAAACAGTAACGCCCACTGTTTCCTCACAAGTTGCTGCAACAGTAAAACCATCAGTGTTTTCAAGGCCTGATAATAACCCACTAGAATCAATACTGCGAAGAGATGCAGGTACATCTCACGCAGGATGCTGCATCATTCAGAAGTCAAATCTAACCACAATGAAGGTTGCCCAATCTTTAAAAACTAAAACTGAAAAATCTGGTCTTGTTTACAGTGATGAACAGCGTGAACACTAGCCACAACACAGCTGAACTGTCATTTGACACCATTCATGTGTCTCAAGTTGAAAGTATTTGCCCTTAAATGGTAACATCTCAATTTGGCCATCGCTCATAAAACCATTCTTATGTAAATTACCGCAAATATGCTGTGTTGCCGTGTTGGTTTTCACAGAAATTTGACGATTTACGTAAGAATGATTTGAAGAACAATTTGTTGAAGATTGAACAATACAACAATTTACACAAATATATATTTGATAATGTAAGACTGTTTTTACAAAAAATCAGTGCAACGGTTTATACAAAATGGTTTTATGAAAAATTCAATGCAACAATTTGTTTAAAATTGAACAATACAACAATTTACACAAACTTTTGTTTTTTGTTTTTACGAAAATTTTATATAATTGATCATTTATGTAAGACTGTTTTTACAAAAATTCAGTGCAACTGTTTATACAAAATGGTTTTATGAAAAATTCAATGCAAGCATGATTTTTTACCAAAAAACAAACAAACAACAAAAAAAATAATTTTGTGTAATTTTGCGTTAACAATGGTTTTATGAATGATTTAATACAACAACATAAAATAAAATAAAAAGCAATGCAAGTATTTACACAAAAAATGGTTTGATGATGGATTCAATGCAATAATTTATGCACATATCATTTTTACCAAAAAAAGCAAAACTTTGCATTACACATGCAATATAATGCACAATTTTAGTCACAATTGTTTTGTGAATGATTCAATACCACAGTTTATGAAAGAATGGCTTTACAATCGATTCAGTGTAACAATTTATGATTTAAAGAACACTTTTATAATCAATAATTTACATAAGATTGATTTTATAGAAAGACAATGCAACTGTTTACACAAAAATTGTTTTATGAAGGATTAAATGCA